GGGGGGCAGTTCTGGCTTAAACGCAGTGCTGTGAAATACTGACTGTGTATTCAGTAAACTCCTGATTGCTGATATTGGCTGGTTTACTGACTTCACAGAGTTCTGATTTTGCTAAATCTGACAGTAAAGGCCCCTAGTCTGATTTCTTGACTGCAGTCTCCATTCTGACTGAGCCACAGTATGAAAAATCTTGAATGCCTTCATCATCTACATTAAGATTATGTAAATCATCTGCTCATTATTGTTATTTTCCTAATGTTCAACTGTAAACTTACCTTTGCATTTTCTTCCTTGACTTTCTTCAGTAGTCATTTCAAGTCTTTGCTATTTTCTGCTAGTACAGTGGGCCCTTCTTATCCGCTGGGGTTTGGTTCCAGGATCCCCTGTGGATACCAAAATCTGTGAATGCAGTAAATATGGTGGCATAGTGAAATGGTGTGTCTTATATAAAATAGCAAAATGAAGGTTTGCTATTTAGAATTTATACTTTTTAATGAATATTTTCAAGCCATGGATGCTTGAATCCATTGATAAAAAAATATGTGGATATGGAGGGCTGAGTGTAGTATGGTGTCTTCTGCATGTCTTAAATTCATCTGAAAGTGTTTCATCTTTCATCCACCAAGGTTTCTCTCTCTCTTTCTTTCTCTCTCTCTTTTGGCTGCAGATAGTGTCTTTTTTCATTCCTCTGACAATGTCCCTGGCTTCAGTTTGGAGTTCATCTGGCTTCTGATCAATTAGGTTTAACAGTGCAAATCTATTTTTTAAAATTATCTTTAAATTCTACATGGATGTTCTTCAGATTCTATTTTAATATAATGTTTGGTTTAATGTTCTTCCTTAGTTTTACTCTAATATTTGATATTTACAGTTCATAGTCTGTGCCACAGTGTGCTCCTGATCTTATTTTTGCAGAGAGAATGGAGCTTCACCATCTTTTGCTTCCAATTATGTATTTGATTCCTGTATTGGCCATCAGATGACATCCGTATATACAGTCTCCTCTTTGCTTACTTGCATCTTAATTTGGTTGCTTGAATTTTCATTTTCATTTGTTGTTCTGTGCCTTCAACTTGTTTCCAATTTATGGTGGCCCTAAGGTGAACCTGAGTTTTCTTGGCAAGATTTCAGAGGAGGTTTGCCATTGCCTTCCCCTGAGGGAGTGTGACTGGGTTTCATGGCCGAGCTGGAAATTATAGGGAGCTTGGTGTCCCAATCCTTTCCGGATGCCTTGACTATCTTCCTCATAGCTTCTTAAAGTGCTCTGTTGTCTCGTTCTCTGCAGCCCGAGCTCTGCGGGTGACATGCAATATGAAATCACTGTTTTATGCCAAATGCGTTAGATATCTCTTTCATGACCTTCCCAGAGAAGTGACTTCCTGAATCATAGTTTATTGTGAAGGATTGGGGCATACCCCAGTGGCTGAAAATGTGGTTAAATAACACCCTTGCAGTGGTGGCTGCTGTATTAGCTCTGGTTGGGAAGGCCTCATCCATTTGCTGAACAGATCTATGATGGTGAGGCAGTACTTATTATGTCTGGGGGTTGTTGGAAGTGGACCTATAAAATCAGTCTGTAACTGCAACCAGGGGCCTTCTATGCACTGGTGTCGGATCTATGTCCCATATTGTGTATGAATTGGATGAGGTCACCCTGGACTTCCATGGGCACTATCCAGCTGTGTATTTCGTTTCCATCAGCTGCTCACCAAACTCCAGTATTTAAAAACAAAAAATAGAAAGCAACCATGGCAGTAAAAAGACAGCACAAAGGCAGGGGGGGGGATGGCAGATTTCCCCAAAACATCGGGCAGGATGGGTCACACCCCTCTGCCGATCCTCTGCCATTAGTCCCTCCCCTCCAGTGTGATGTGATTGAGATACGAACATTGTTCACACTTGTTGGACACGCTTCCAAAGTGAATCTTTTCAAAAGAACCACCAAAAGAACTGTCTTCGAAAAGAGCAATTATTTTTTTTTTTTTTGCATTTGCCTCACTTCACCGCGAGTCAGATCAAACACAGTTGGTCTGAAACCACGTCCAGTGTGAACAAAGCACATATAAACCAATCAGCAATTCGGTTTAAATCATAGTGAGAATGAGCTCTATGTAGTTTTTATACAATCCTAGAAGAGCTGAACAGATCCTACAAGGACTGTCCAGCTCATCCCGCATCTTTTGCCATGCAGGAATACTAAGAGTTGGAAGGGTCCCCAAAGTCCATCCAGTCCTACCCCCTTCTTCTACCATGCAGGAATACATAGGATCCTAGAGTTGAAAGGGATTCCAAAGGCCATCCAGTCCAGCCCCTTCTTCTGCCATGCAGGAATACATCGGATGCTAGAGGTGGAGGGGACCCTAGAGGCCATCATGTGACAGCCATCTTTGTCATGCAAAACTAGGGCTTGAGTGGGGTGTGATCCCTCTCCCAGTTTGTCTCAGGATCCCCAATCACTAGGAAGAGGTCCTGATCCTCTTGGATCTCCCCTTTGGACATAGCAATGATTTTAGCATGACATGTGGCAGCCATCTTTGTCATGCAAAATGAAGGCATGGAGTGGGGTGTGACCCCTCTCACAGTTTGTCTCAGGACCCCCAATCTATTGGAAGAGGTCCTTATCCTGTTGTCTTCTCTGTGGACACAGCAATGATTTTAGCATGAGATGTGGCAGCCATCTTCTGCAAAACTAGGGCTGGGGGTATGGTGCGACCCCTCTGAGAGTCTGTCTCAGAACCCCAAAGGATCCTGTTGGATCTTCCTGTGGACACAGTAATGATTTTAGCATGACAGTTATCTTTGATGGCTTTATCTTTCTTATCCAGTAACTTAAATGAACGATTAAAATTACATTTCTTATTTTTATTTCTCAAGCGATTATCTTTATCTTTCTATTGGGACTTTCCTTTTTTAAAATTTTTTGGCTACATAATAATAAATAATAAAAATAATACAATGTATTTGTATCCCGCCCCTCTGCATAACACAACTTACAACATTAAAATATACATTTCATATCCCACAATCCCATCCACCCCTGAAAATACTATTAAACAATGACAATTTAAAACACACTTAAAATAATAATATAAATAAACAATAACTGCACTTGCAAATGCCCTCCTTTAAGAACTACAAATGAGAATGCCACCAGACCATTGCCTGAGTTCAGCACTTTTGTGACACCACTAACATCTCATTCCTCTCCTCAC